GCTCTCCACACGCTCAATGTTTATTGCCTGGCTTCAGGTGCCAAAATTAATTTTGACAAATCCTCCGTGTCTTTCTGCGGAGGTGTCGTGGCCGCCCAGAACACCTGGGGCCTCAGGGACGCAGGGGACTCTTATTGGGTCCTCGGTGTACCCCTGGGGAGAGATGAGGCGGCCTGCAGGGACGATTTGTGGCGGGGTTTGTTTAACAGCGTAAACGCTCGCATGAATTTGTGGCGTTTGCGAAACCTAAAAATCAAAGGTAAGGTATTAGTGGTAAATGCCCTGTGCTTGTCAAAGCTCGTGCACGCCCTCACTGTGTATGACTTGCCAAGTGCAGCGGCAAACAAGTTCAGTGTAGCGGTAAGTAAGTTTATTTGGAGTAGGGAGCGTGGGCTCGTGGCACACAGTGTTCTCATTGGTAAGTGTAATCAAGGGGGTTTAAAACTCATTGATTTATGTGTCAAAAAGAGCGCCTTGCGGCTGAAGATAATAAAGAAGTTCCTTGACACCGGCTTTGCGGCTGCGTGGAAGGACTTCTTTGCGGTTCAGGTAGGGTACTTAGGTGAGTACGGTCTATTTAATTTGTGCATGCTCCCCCAGCGGACCACTCTCGAGCGTTTTCCACCCTTCGAGAGGGAGGTGTTTGAGGCCTGGGCTGCGATGAGGCTGTTCACTGTGGCGGCCCCGCGCTCCCTATGGCAGCTGGGGCAGATGCCACTGAGATTTAACCCTGACATGCTCTCTGACCCCCCTGAGAGGAGGGAGAGCATGTTCAGTGGAACATTTGAAAGCGTAGGTATACAACAGGTAAGGCAGGTATTAGACGTCTCAGGTAATTTTGATTTGGAAGAGATTAGAGGTAAGTTTATTGGAGCGGGGGTGGGGTTTAGGAGAGGGGTGATATATAGGAAGATGTGTAAGATACAGTCCTTTGTCCTGGGGAAGTGGGGTGCTCTCTTCAAGAACGCCCCCCCTGACCCAGGCGAGGTAAATGTTGAGGAGGAAGGTAAGTATTTTTTTGATTTTGTGGTGGTGAGGGGGGAAAAGATGTTGAGGCTGACGGAGATGAAGACGCGCACCTTTTACCGACTGCTGGTGGCCCGGGTAGCTCGGCGCCCCACTGCAGAACACAGGTGGTCACAAACATTTCCCACGCATGACGTTGCATCCATCTGGGCTAACATATACAATTGGTACACCCCACCCCAGGTCAGTAACTTTGACTTCAGATTGAGACACAGGATCATTTACACCTGCACCACACT